GCGCGTTACTACTGAGCACTCCAGCCCGTCAATATCACGGGAGCGAGAAATAGAGGGCGAAACCTCACCCCGTCATTTTCACGCGAGCGAGAAGGAAGGGGTTAAACTCATAAATTAGCTGCGTTTCAAAGTTTTCTGCTATGTGTGTAACATGCTTGAATTTTGGAAAGAATTTAAAACAAACTCTAATTATTAATGTAAAATACAGATATGCAGAATTGAAAAATAAAACCATACATAAAATAATCTAATAATGAATAAAAATTAAAAAAATATAAAATATTATTCCAACCTAAAACAACTAGAAAAAACTGACTTTTGGGTAACTGCCGTTTATTTTATCTTAAATATGGCCTATAGTAAGAAATTCTTTTCTTCGGAAATCTGATAAATTTATTACTGTGAGACAAACTTAAAAATAAATAAATAATAAAAAAATGAAAGAAAACAAAGAAGAGAAGCAACAAGAGTTGGTATAAATAACTTTCACTGTGTCGTAATTGAAAAAATAAAATAGAAAGGATGAAAAAAAAAACTTTATCGGTTATTAAAAGTTATAAAAATGTATTAAAATAAATGTCTCTGAATGTACCAAAAATATGAAGATAAAAAACTATTTATGAAGATAAAAAACAGTATGTAGGAGGCAGGATTGATGTGATGGTAAATAGCAAACTATTCATTCTTTAATAAGTTTTAAAATTCCCATTGAAATAAGAAGGATCATAATATCATCATGAGTGTCACGAAAAACCACCCAGTGTGGGTCTTAGCTTTCTATAGATGAGTCTTTTCATTCTAAACCAAGTCAGGCATAGCCCATTTATGCACAGTGTGCAAGAGCACCCTGAATAACTTCTGATCAGATACGCTAATTAATTAGTGCATACGATAATTTAAGTTACTTCATCAGACACAAAAACTTTCTATGTAGGGTAAACTAACCAGTGAAGGAACACTTAAGCTACTCTTGCCTTTTAAAAAATCATATTAATTTCAAAATTCGTAATTTTAGTTAAATGACAGTGTCAACATATTTGTTACTAATTGCAAATTATGTAAAAAAATTTTAGAGAACTTACTTAATATTGTTTTAAAGTTTTGGAGGTTCAAATAACAAGTAGTAAGAAGACCAAGTGAAGGAACAGCTCTTACCAGTGAAGGAACACAAAATTGCCCAGTAAAGGAACACTTAATTTTGGTTATTTTTTAATGTTCTTTATGAATTTATTAGCCATACAAATATATAAAGATATAAGTATATAAAGACAAGACTATTTATGAAATTATAACATACAAGTACTTGTAAAATGCTAACTTTTTTTTGTAATCATGAACTAGAAATTAAAGTGATGTTAAATACAAAATAAATAAAAAAAATCATTCTTTCTTATAATTTGACAGTCAAATCTAAATCATTGTGTCATCCGATGCTGTTTATTATCATTATTATTTTATCACCTTTTTGTTTACTCTTTTTCCTCTTATTTCTTGAAGCTTTTTTTCTTTTTTAAGTATTTTTTCTTTCTTTTTCTTTTCCATGTTCTCTTGTTTTAACTTTTTTTAGATCTTTCAGCCTCTTGAAATTTTTGCCATTTCTCTGAAGTTAGTGCAAAAGGTAATTTATTCGTTTTTCTTCTTATTTGACCTTTCTTTTTATCATCAATATTTGGCCAATGTAAATGGTTCTTCCAAACTTCTTCTGATTTTTCAGCAACATTTCTAGAATGCCTTTCTCGAAAATAGACGGGGGAAAGGTGTCTTGAAGTTTGAGGCAAATCCATCTCTTGTTGACTTATATCTAGAGGATCTTTAGAAGTACTGATTTTACTTACAGAATCATTTCTTTTTTCAACTAAGAGAATCAGCATGAGGACTCATTTCAAATTCGATATCTAATATGCATTCATTATCAATACTAGCTTCAGTTCCTAAGTTTGACTTAACCAAGTGGTCTTCTTTTAATACGTGCTTCTTCCATATTGAAAAAAGTACAGGCTCTTGGACATTTTCGATATTAGACTCTTCCGTCAATGCTGTGTTAAAAATTTACAACATATCTTGAGGGATTTCCCTCTCAAGCTTCTGAAGAAATTGAGTATCGTTTCTGTTTAACTTTGTTTTTTGTTGAGGAACTTACTTCTAAATTCTAACATTGTAAAGTAGTTTCTATAAATTATATAATCACGTTGCTATCCTATAATGATAGCTTATTAGGAGTTCTTGGTGCAAAAGCCAGCGAAAAAATGTTCTATTTTTATGATTATATTTAATTAGTTTTCGATTTGTAAACATAGTTTATTAAGTTGCCTAACATTTGATGTAACTACACACCCCGTTAATAAATATAAATTATAATTTTTTCATAAATTAAGCTATTAAATTAACATTTTGAACTGAAATTATTTCAGGAATTATTCATACAATTTTTAACAAAATTTCGGTTGTCCTCTATATAGCAGAATTACTTATCCTAGAGTCATGTAAAATCATATATCACACATTACTGTTCATTCACTGGAAGTATTCCCAGTGTAGGAATATGCCTGTTTCTTCACTGGTTAGAAGCTGGTTTTTGTCTTTTAAACAGAATTTTGATGTATAATATGACTAAAAGTACAAGAAAATTAAAAAATTTCTTTTATTTTCATTAACTGGGAGAAAAACCCAGTAAAGGAACACTTGTTCCTTCACTGGTTTTTCATCGTTTGGTGATCCAGTGAATAAACACCCCCTTATCTCAGTACTTGATTATGCTATGGTGCTTTAAAAAAAATAAAACGTAACTTCAATAACTATATTTTGAATTCTCTTTTTCACAGTGAGAAAAATAAAACTATTGCATGCAATTAATTCCACTTCAAACATATAAATACAAACACTCACCTTATAATTTTTTCAACGAAACAAGGTGTTGCAGAGATAACAAATTCAAAATTTTTTCCAGAGAAGTCTATGTGACCAGGTAATCCAAAACATTGCTAGATGACTTGGCAGTAAGCTATTGTTACCAATCATTATAAAGAAAAACTTTCAAATTCTTATTTTTAATCAATATATATGAAATGTTCCTTCACTGGTTGGTTTACCCTATAAACATACTTTTTTTACGACGGATTCCGATTTCTGAGCCCCCACACTATAAGGGGGGGGGGGTGGAAGCAATCTGGGAAATAGGCTCCCAATAGTTTGGTTAGGAGAGCTGTTCAAAGTTTGGACTCTTCATTGATAATTTTGCTTTTTCCGTATCTCACCTTATCCCGAGAGTTTATAAGACGAATAGAGAAATTTTGGCACTCAATTATAAAATTCGTTTATCCAATGAGAATTTTCCTGCAAAAAGTAACTTTTAGTAAATATTTATTATTCTTCTATATCATAACAATCGAAACATTTCTGAATTGTAATATAACCAATTTTGGCATCATTTTAAAGAATGCAATTTTAAATGGCAAAAAAACAAAATTTGAGCGAAATCGATCGAATAGTTCCTGAGAAATCAAACTTAACAACAAAAAGAAAGAAAGGATTTTTTTTAAATTTAGATTTCTCAGGAAATATCCGACCGATTACGCTCCCACACCTCGAGTCAGTTGACCTCAATAGCCTTGAAGTTCACACACAGTCAATTCATCGGCTGATATTAGCTTTCTCCCCTCAAACGCTTGCCCTGATGGCTGCTATAATTTTAAAAGCCTTGCATGCAAATCACCTGGCTATCGCATTCTTAGTAGTTATATTAACTTTTACGAACGCTATCTCTGAATAAATAATAAAAGTTTGAAAAAACCCTACTTGCAAAAACATTTCCAAATATCTTAACCAGACTCAAAGGCATTCATGTCAGGTCCGAATCTGAATCAAAGTAAAAATTGGGGGATAGGTGTCTTACTGATAAGTCATTTGTGTACAAAATACTTTAAAATGATTTTTAATATAGAAGAATGTCTATATAGTATGAGAGTTTAAGCCTATATTTATTCAGCTCCTAGTTCTAGCATTCTACTTTAGAAAGAAGAAAAAAATTGCAGAATTTTTAGGGGTCACAGGTCTTAGAAAAAAAAAATCAATGTACAAGTAAAATTCTATTATGAACATGATAAGGTTACATTTAAAATAAATTGAAAGAAAAGAAGTAGTTTTTTTTCTTCTCATTCCTACCACTATTTCTTTCAAAAGATAGCTGGAAAATTTGAAAATAAATTTAACATTACGTTCCAGTATTGAGAAAGGGATGGTCATTTTTTTGGGATGTATGTATGAATAGTTTGGACTAGAATAATTACTCTTTTTTTTTATGACTGCAGAAGATCTTTGTAAATCTANAGGGGGGGGAGGGGTTTAAAATTTCTCCATTTTTGTGTGCGTACTTTTTGAACGGCCCCTTTAAAATAAATTGAAACAAAGGAGTAGTTTTTTTTTTTTTTTCATTCTTACCACTACTTCTTTCAAAAGATAGCCGGGAAAATTTGAAAATAAATTTAACATTACATTCAGTATTGAGAAAGGGATGGTCATTTTTTTTGGGATGTATGTATGAATAGTTTGGACTAGAATAATTACTCTTTTTTTTTATGACTGCAGAAGATCTTTGTAAATCTAGAAACAAAAGGCTTTGTATAGAATATTATGTTTATAGTAAAATTCATTTAAACTTACTTTACAAAACATGGTAATATAGGCTGGAACAGATTAAATATTAAAATAATTTTTAGATATTACAAATTAAAAAGAAATTGGCTACTTAAAAGAGGCTGTATCAGTATTTTTTAAAAACAGTATTCTTTTTAACAAACTTTAAAAATCATGCAAAAATAAAATCCCAATCTTAGAAACTTTTTTTATTAAAACAACCTATTGAAATTTTTCTTAATCCCTTAGATAAAAAGAAATTCCTCAACATTACATTAAAAAAGTTTTGTAGTAAAAAAGATGAAAAAGAGACCACAAGATGGCACTCATTAAAATGTTACAAAGTGGAACTTTTATAAAACACATGATACAAATTCAACACAAAATTTATTTAAATAAACTAAAAAACACAAAACAATTGTATAAATAAACAGCAAAAGTCACTTATGTACAAAATTTCTAAGTTGATGAAATGAAATTTTTCAAAATGAATGTTTCAGTTGGATGAAATAAGTTCAGAGTATCTTCACAGAAGTACTCAAATGTAGTCCCTTTGTACAAAAACTAAATTTATTATAGTCTATAATTCATCCTTAAATTCATCCTCTCCACCTGTAGGAGGTGGAGGTGGTTGACCACCCTCACTGTACAATTTAGAAACTATTGGAGTTACAATATCTTCAACTTCCTTCTTTTGGGTTTTGTACTCTTCTGCCTCTGCATCCGGATTGCTTTCGAGCCATTTGATTTTCTCGTCCAGGGCCTCCTCCACTTTTTCTTTGTCGGAAGAACTCAATTTGCCACCCATCTTTTCCTTATCATTGATTTGGTTTTTCAAAGAATAAACATAAGATTCCAATTCATTCCTGGCTTCCACTTTTTCTTTCAGTTTCTTGTCCTCCTCTGCAAACTGTTCAGCATCTTTTATCATTTTTTCAATGGCCTCTGGACTTAACCTGTTGTGGTCATTGGTGATAGTAATTTTTTCTTTATTGCCAGTCCCTTTGTCTTCAGCAGATACTTTTAGGATTCCATTTACATCGATTTCAAAAGTGACCTCAATTTGTGGGACACCTCGTGGAGCTGGCGGTATTCCAGTCAAATCAAAGGATCCCAAGATGTGGTTGTCTTTAGTCATTGGTCTTTCACCCTCATAAACCTGAAATGAACCTCCAATTAAAGTCTAGGAAATCATTCAACATATTTTGCTAATGAAACGTCATAACAGAAATAAATATTTCAAGGTGGGTGGTTCATTCATAATAATGACAAGTGACTGAGCTTTACCTCAATAACTAAGCAGCAAAGATTCATTCAACATTTCAAGAATTTTAAATATCTAATTCATGGATGAAATTGCCAAAAATCCTCAACAAGGAAACCACATAAACTTCAAAATAGACAATTTAACTTTGCTAAAAAAAAACATACAATTGAAAAATACAATTATTTACCTATCTCACAACTATTTCCAATGAACACACATGTTTGTTCACTATTTTTTTATTTTTTGCTACCTACGAAATTCTGACATAGAACCAAGTTCTAAAAGTTCTGACAATTTCATGAAAACTACTTTTTCTTTTTAACAAAGTTACTTCACCATTGTACAGTCGAACTCATTTATAACGAGAACTCGGATTCACCGAGGGAATCGAGAATATTTGGTTGGATCACTGTTAAGTCTATGGAACAGAAGTCGCTTTTAACGAGCAAGACTCTGTTTTAGCGAGCAATATTTTTCTGTCTTGCAATCTTTTTTTCAAAATGATAAGAAATGCACGCAAAAAAAAAAAAAAAACCATGAACTGAAACTTCAAAATAAGCTAACAAGCTACTATTTTAAATATGTAGATTAATGAAAAAAATAAATGTTATGGTAAGAATCTTTTCCTTTATTTTTCTTTCCGTTTATTGCTTCTTTCCTTTAAGACTGTAGTGCAACTAGAAATTTTTTGCTGGTTGGGGAGGGGATAGTTATCATTAAATTAAGAAAGTATTTAATTAAATTAATTAAAGTAAGTATTAATTAAATTTTATGTAAACTCAATAATTTGACCTCCCAACCCTCTTCTGGTTGCACGCCTGCCTTAAGGACCCGTTTACTACGAGCACTCGGATTTAACGAGTACATGTTGCGGTCCCTTTGTGCTCGTTATAAACGAGTTCGACTGTATAACAATAAACTTTATTTTTAACTTACCTTGATTGTAACTGTATTTTGATTATCTGAGGCAGTAGAGAAAATCTGAGATTTCTTTGTGGGTATAACAGAGTTTCTGGGGATCAATTTTGTCATGACACCACCAACAGTTTCAATTCCCATAGTTAAAGGATTAACATCAAGAAGAACCAATTCACCTACAATTAAAATAGAAAATAGATAAGTAACAATCGCATATATATATTAGGGTTACAAAGTTAATGTTGAAAGAGCAAGCACCTGTATCTTCATCACCACTCAGAACTCCAGCTTGAACAGCAGCTCCGTATGCAACAGCTTCATCAGGATTGATACCACGAGTGGGCTCTTTTCCATTGAAAAACTCCTTCACCAATTGTTGGATCTTTGGAATACGAGTGGAGCCACCAACAAGAACAATTTCGTGAACATCCTTCTTCTGCAAGTCACCATCTTCCAAAACTTTCTGTACTGGCTTCATAGTGGAACGGAACAAATCCTAGAGGGACAAAATTAAGTTTTTATAATTATTTCATAAAATACTTTAAAATCTATGTCAATGTATTGAAGGCTGAATTTGATAATTTTATAAATATTTGTGACTTTTTTATTTTTAATTTACTTAGATTCAAAATAGTAAGAATTGTTACTAAGCAAGAAAATTTACCATGTTCAGTTCTTCAAATTTCGCCCTAGTTAAGGTTTCACTAAAATCTTCTCCTTTGTAGAAAGATTCAATTTCAATTCTAGCTTGATGAGCTGATGATAGAGTTCTCTTTGCTTTTTCAACTTCACGTCTCAATTTCTGAACAGCCCTGTTGTCGCCTTTGATATCATGGCCAGTTTTCTTTTTGTAAATCTTGATAAAATGCTCCATAACTCTCTGATCGAAATCTTCACCACCTGAAGAGGAAAAAAAAAAAAAAGTTTAAAAAAGAAAAATTTGTAAGTAAGCTCATAAAATAGTTTTTTTAAACAGTTTTTATCCTTCAATGGTACATTAATCATCTTTAATTGAAGATTAAATTGTTTGCGACCTTGATTACAACATCTCTTTTAATTTAAGTGGCATGCTAAAGCTGTTAAAAAAAAAAAAAAAAANAAAAAAAAAAAAAAAAAAAAAAAAAAGGGGGTGGGGCACGCAAGTTAAACGACCAATTTTAAATTTCTCACTAAAAAATGCAATAATTTATCTGAATAATTTAACCTTTCTCTGTTACTTTTCAAACCTTATCTTTCGTAGCTTACTCGCAAATAATAGTGGAATTGTAATTTAATTAAATTTGAAACTTTCCATTTCATTTGGCCACAGCTTTAACACCATATGATGATCATTCATTTTTTATGCTTTTTTAAAAATATATTTTTAATGAAAATTCCAGAATTAAATAGCAAAGCTTACTTCCTCTCTAAATATAAAATTTTACAGCAAACACATAAAAGTTAGCAGGTATGCTATTTTATCAGATTTTAGATGTGTGTTCATAAAGCTAAAAAATTCACAAATGCAATATAAGATTTAAAACTGTAGGGTGACCCGGGGTAATTCACGATCACTGTTTCTGAGGTAAATAATGATCACCTAAGTTTTATTAAAAAAAAATTTTTTTTTTAAATTCGAGACATGACCAAGAATGCTTGAACACTTTACTAAAGTATAACTATATTTACTTAATAGTTTTTTGTTTAATCTAACAAAATAAGTATTTTTTAAACTGCTTTCTGTATTTTCCATTTCAAAGATGGGTCTCAAAATGTGCACATTTCTGAAAAGATCTTCCTCCTTTTCTTAATAATAAATATTTTGAGTTACACTATTCTATAACAAAGAAAAAGAAAGTAAGCTTTTGTTTAATTTTTTCACCTCTACTATAAACATTATAATTGATCATAGGAAACCATATCAAATGTTGCCCCCAACAGATGGGGCAATTATTGATCACTGGGGTAATTCCTGATCATTGTCATTTCTTAATATAAATAGTATAAAAAGTAACTAATAAATAGCCGATTGTCTTTTCTTAAATAACAGTTAATATTTATTAAGTGGAACAACTATAAAATATATTTTAACTGTGATCACAAAATTTGTTTTTAACTGTATACAAGATAAATGTGTTCTGATTTGTACCATTTCTGGTTTGCTTAATTTTATGTGTGTACATTGTTAGAATAATTTTTAAGTTTATAAATTAGTCTAATATAAATATGGTGAGAAATTATAAGCTTAAAAAGAATACTAAGCTTCTAGAAAGCAAAATTAGTGAACTTCTTTTAAATGATTGAAAATAAAAACTTCAGTGCAAAAGCTGCTGCCAAAGCTGTTGGTATACCTTATTACACTCTTAATGAACTTTACACTTTAATGAAGTTAAAAAATCCAGCAAAAGTAACCCATGTGGGAACTCTTTTTTATATTCCAGCAGAACATGAGAATGAATTGGCTGCTTGCCTAAAATGTATGTCACAATGCAAAAATTTTTGGAAAATTTAAGTTTTAATCTTTATTCTCTCTTTTAAATAAATCGTTTTATTATCTGCTTAAACATACATTTTTGGTTTATTTGTTTGATCTTGATGTCTTATTTCTTAATTACCATTATATAATTATTTTTAAACAGTCCATTTACTATAAAAACTGGTGATCAGTAATTACCCTAGAAGTGATCAAGAGAAGGGGTAATTCCTGATCACAGAAAATTTAAAATCTTTTAAATTCTAATTAGATTTTCAAACAAAAGGTAACATGAGACTAATCTTATATAGCCTCAAACTTGCAGTAAATATTAAAATTCTATCTTGAATAGTTTTTTCACAAAATAGATGTTTGTATTTTTGGATCAGGAATCACCCCAAGTCACCCTACTAAATATGATATTGCATTATATGTTCTATCAACAAATTTTAGGTTGAAAATTTACGAATTTTATCACAAAGTAGCTCAGCCCAGTTTAAATGGGTAAAGAACTCAACGTACCAAGATGAGTATCTCCATTAGTGGCTACTACTTCAAATACTCCATTGTCGATGGTCAAGAGTGAAACATCAAAAGTACCACCACCCAAATCAAAGACCAAGATGTTCTTTTCTCCTTCTTTCTTGTCCAAACCATAAGCAATGGCAGCGGCAGTCGGTTCATTGATAATTCTCATAACATTCAATCCAGCAATGAGGCCAGCATCCTTGGTCGCCTGTCTTTGTGCATCATTGAAATAGGCAGGAACAGTCACTACAGCATTCACTACTTTCTTCCCAAGGTAAGCTTCAGCAGTCTCCTTCATTTTGGTCAAAACCATGGCAGATATTTCTTCGGGAGCAAATACTTTATCTCCGTCCTTAGTCTTTACTTGAATATGTGGTTTACTGTTCCTTTCAATAACCTAGAGAGAGCAATAAGAGTTTTAAAAAAAATTTAAAATACAACACTTTATATTTTCAGGAATGTGAAGATTTTATTTCTTGTTTGGAACTTATTCTTTCTCATACATTTCAGCTATGTAAACAACTAACAATCTTATTTATAGTGCTATTCCTAGCATTGCATTGTTTTTCGGAAAAAAAAGTCCTGTGCAATTGTACTTTATTACAGGAGCTTGTATTTAAATCTAATTAGGGCAATTCCAAGGTGACTGATATATTTTGATAGAAAAAGAAAAAAACGGAAAATAAGAAAACCTATAATAAATTTCAATTTCTAAAAAATTAGATTGGATGTATTTCATTAGCCTAATATTATACGTATAAGAGAAAGATTAAAAAAAATATGTTTTATTTAGAACAAGGATTAAAATATGACTGGTGTTATATAAAAATGGCATGGAGTTTGGGGTAACATTTGTATTCTGAAATTCTTCTATAAGCAACAAAAGGATTATCTTATTTAATAAACAAATTAACAGGAAACATTGAAAGTACCCATGAAATGACTTGTAGAAAATGGCAGAGAAAAAGCTTTTGCAACTGATGTTACAAATAACAATTGTATTAAATTTCAATAAACTTTTACAAAAGTAAAAACTAATTTTTTATTTCATATCTAAAATTAAAAAAAAGGTTAAGAAATTTGTTAAATGAAAGAATACTATTAAAAATGCTTATTTTTTGTAAAGTTTTCTTTGGTATTATAGAATTGCCAATTAGAATTTTTTTTTTTCTTTCTTCAAAATTAAACTGGGAAAATGTTTATACTATGTCTTGTTTTAATGCTATTTAATGCTATACTTAGACTTTGATTTTTAGATCTACCCATAGAATAAATACCTTTTAATAATCTAAAAATATATAACAAAATGTTTTCGTAGATTGTTTAGCATACGTTTACAATGAAAAAAAAAAAAAAAAAAAAAAAAAANAAAAAAAAAAAAAAAACATTTAAGCAAAAAACTACCACGTTTTTAATAGTAATATTTTTTTTTATAGAAAAATAAATCTTAGAAAAGATATATTACCTTGAATGGGAAGAATTTGATATCTTTTTGGACTGTTGGATCTGACCATTCTCGTCCAATCAGACGTTTTGCATCAAAAACTGTGTTTTCGGGATTGGATGTCAGTTGATTCTTAGCAGCATCACCAATTAACCTCTCTCCTTCGGGTGTAAAAGCCACATAAGAGGGAGTAATTCGATTACCTTGGTCATTAGCAATAATTTCAACTCTTCCATTCTTGAAGATTCCAACACTACAAAATTAAAAGTTTCTTTTAAAATACATTAAATTTTTAATACTGTTAGATAATCTAACTTGGTATTTATAACTAAATAATCCAACTGCCTGAAAATTAAAACAGTTTAAATTTTAAAAAAATTACAGTTTAAATTAAATAAAGTTTTGATTAATCATTGTGTTTTTTATATTTTTTACAGCCTTTTAAAATAGATGTGAATTTCTAATTTCCCTTTAAACTATTTAAAAGAAATAATATTCTGGAAATTTAAAGTGCTACTATAGTTTCCTATAACAATTTACCTTTTTATTTCAAAGTTAAATTATATTAAAAATTTTTTTTTTAAAAAAAAGCTAAATGATTTTTCTGAGACATTCTACTTTAATTTCCCTTAGTTTTTAACAAGTCTTGAAATATTCATTCAGTTCTCAGATGGATTCAATCGATCAAATAATATTAGGTATTTAAAATTCATTGGTGATAATATCCTGCCTTCTACATTTCAGTTTCAGAATAAATAATTAATATTTGCAATATTTTTCTTATTAAATCATTATAGAGATAGGCAGTGAATAATTTATGCATGAAAAAGGTTTATTCTCTATGTTAATATTTACTTAGCAAATAGGTATTAATCTTAATCCATAAATATTTAATCTTCTTGCCTTAAATATTCTTAAATTGAAATAAATAATCAAGGAGATAAAATAGTTTTGGTAATCATTAATAAGTCTGAATTACTTGTCCAGGCGTCCTACCCTTGGAAAATATACTTGTTTTCATTTTATTAGATTTCTTGCAACTAATTATTAGTGTATAACATATCATTGTAATATAATCTTTTTGTATTGTGTGTTATAATTTTGAAGAGTCGTATCACTATTAATTTTCTTTATAACATAGCCGATCAATAAGCTTATTTCGACAGATCAGCAGTTTTGTCAAACAATTATCGAGTGTACATGCATGGCACTTATTTCATGCTAAACTGTTACTTTGCTCACGAGAATTTTACAATTTTTTTTATAATCGCTGTCTACAATTATCAATTTGGAATAATTGACTCTTCTAAGATACAAATTTAGCTAAATATTATATTCTAAAAAGCACAATTTATGTATCTATAAGAAAAAACAGATTCAATCTTTATTTTTGTTACAGTTATAAACAATATATCAAAAATGATTACCATGAATAAGTTGTTCCTAAATCAATACCAATGACAGGCCCTATACTTTCCTTGTCATCACTCTTTGATGCAACATAAGCTGCAACAAGCAGCAAACAAGCTGCTAGTCTCGTAATCAACTTCATGGTAAGTATTCTACAAAAAGAATGAAAAGTCAAAATAAGAAAAAATAGCTTAGCAATAAAGTTAGCTAAAATTTCTTAAAAATAGAAAGTGCGCCTTAAGTTTTAACTGAAATAAGTACAATATATTAATCTAGTGCAGGAATGATTTAGAAGTTTAAGCAGTTAACCAAAACAAATATTTGGTATTTAAGACCAATAAACTCAGAACCTAAAAATTAACAAAGATAGGACAATTAATTATTTAAATTGTGAGGTGAAGTTTAAATATTTTATTGTTCTACAAAGTATGTTGAACAACAGCTGGCATACTGTCTCTCCCCCTCTAGGAAAGCTCATATTTGGCCTATCCATACATTTTAGTAGACTATTTTATAACCATGACATACAGAAAAAAATCATATTTTCAAAAATACCAACATTTTTAAACTTTATAATTTTTATTACTTTATTATTTTTTCCTTTCAGTTCAAAAGAAGCCCATTCTCAAATTCTCATTTTCAACAGATGAAATTTTTATGAGAGTGAAATTTAAATAGGGTGGTTATAGGCACTTTAATCTTTAAAAGTTAAAGAGGGCTGTTTATTGATGATGAATATTTAAAAATATGGATTAGAAAAAAAAACTCAAAAATTATTATTTATTAAAAAGAGATAATAGATTCCCTTGAGGAGAAGAAAAAAGTTACTTGATAACCATTTAGTGTCATCTCTGTGAAACTTAATTCAGATTTTACTTAATGTAAATAACAGTTATATAAAATTTAAAAAAAAAAAAGCCAATCTTCTCGTTCTATTTAAAAGGCTGATTGGCAAAATAAGAATTTCTCGCACTCAATTTGCAATTGATAAAAGCATATTAAACTTGCAAATATAAGCTAAAGCTTGAAAACTTATCGTACGTGTCAACAGTAAAAATATCAATTATGTAATCTGGTTTACATTAAACTGAATTTTGTATACGCTCTCCCTTCAGAATAATAGATATAAAAAAATTTGCTTAAATTTTTACAATTAAATACACTTTTTAAAAGTTTGTTTGAAACTGATGGTAATGTCCTTGTGTAAGCAAAAGACACAGAGAAATACAGATTACCAGTAATAAATAAGCGATAAAAAGAAAAACATACCTATTGCCGATAATTTAACAACAGTATAATCCAATTAAATGGAGATTTAGGAGTAATCAATTGGATCAAAAAAGCTCAGAAATTTACACTCGATACAATGCCAAATTTGAACTATCATAAAATTCTGCTGAATACCGGGTGTAAACGTATATTAAAAAGACACGAGCCGGCGTGTCGAGAACTGATTGGATGAGATCCTCCTATTCGGCTTTCAACAATTGGCTGGATGCCGAAGACTATTCGGGAAAGAGCGAGAGCTGACGTGTACTTTGACAGAGCGGCCTCGTTTTAAAATACGTATTTCACTACAATACGTGAACTTGACGTGTTGTTTTCATGCACTAATTAACATATTCAGATTATTTTGAATTAAATTTTCTTTTTCGTGTTTGAGGAACTAAAATTTAACTGATGAAAAATAGCGCAAATGTATATTTTTTTTAAAAATTATTTCTGCGTTTGATAAGTTAACAAGAAGAACAGTTACAGATTTCTTTAAAAAATAAAACAAAACAGAAACTTTTGCTTACACCAATATTCATTTTCTTGCGTAAGCAGTAAAACCAATTTGTACTAAATTAAAGTTAAGCAAATTAAACTTACGTTAAATGTCTTTATTGTTAAACTTTGCCAATTGAGAAAAAGTTAGGGTCGCCATAAAGATTTTAACAAAAATAATGGTGCTAATTTAAAAATAAATTTTTGTATTAATATGTATTATAAAAGAAAAAATTCTTAAAAATTTAACCTTTTATGTGTGATTATCTTTTGAAATGAACTAATTAAAAATTTCACAAAGCAAAGTATCTATTTGAAGTTCTTATTTATTTTATTCAAGTAAGAAAAAGTTCAAAACAGAAAAACAATTTCATTTATACTGATGTTTTCGCCTCTGAAATGGATAAGCACCGAACTTCTTGTAAAAGTAAATATTTAAAATTATGTAGATAAAATATATTACTTAAAAAAAATATACTTATTGCACTAGCATGAATTAGATAAAATTTATACATATTTTTTTATAAAAAAAATCGAAGTTTTAAAACGTTGTTCTTTAGAATTATTATCGAATTGGCTGTTGCTTGGCAGACCGCCTTTTTAATAAATAGAGGCATTTGATTGGTCGTTTACATCATCGTTTTCATCGTTATCGCTTAATCGTTTTGTCAGGTTTACTAGAATGGCGCTTTTAGCATTTTTGCTTGGCANTGCGTATCGAATTATCTTTAAACGAGACTTAACACGCAGTCCAGAAATCCGACGGAACATAATGAAGAGGTCAGTAATTCCTCCTCCAATCGAGTGTTCATAAAAAAAGAAAAAGCAGTCTCGAAATCTACTGAATTTTACTAACTTCTATCCCTAGTATAGAAAAGCAAATAAATTATTACTTAAAGTAAAATATTAATTTGGTTATTATTATTAAAATAGTAATTAAGTTACGATACAATCGAAGATGATGCAACAGGAATCATTCTTGGCCTTCTTCATTATGTTACTGCAGCTGCTATAAAGTAAACCTAATCTACTTATTATGAGGCAAAATACTATTCATTTTATTTTCGTTGTTGCAGTGTTATTCAAGTTGCTTATTTGAACTACTGCCATATTCTTACTTTAATGAGCAGTTTTATCACAACATCGTTCGCACAGCAAATTGCATGTTTTTAGTTAATTATCGAAGATATTAAAGATATCTAAGTACTACTAAGTAAATGATGAAAATTTAGTTATTTGACAAACTAGGCAGTGTATAATCCAGAGTATTTACACTCCATTTTAATTAAACACCACGAAAATCTGAATGGTAAATTATAGTTTATATGAAAGCCATTCTTTCTTTTTTTTTTTAACTATCTATCCTTATTTTCATAAAATCTATTTGTAAAATTATAAAGTTTTGCCATAAAAAATTTTCCGAATGGAAATTTTTTTAATGAATTTACGGAACTTACTTACGTTTAATGTTAAGAAAATTGGGGCAAAATATATCGAGTTAAACAAATGTTATAAATAAAATAAAAATTAACTTTTTTATTATAATGATTAATGGTCCTGCTATGTTAAAAAAAATGAAAAAAAATCATGTATTTATGTATGATAAAAACAAAAGCTCAAAATTATAAAAGTTTTGGTATAATCTTATCCTTTTGTTTTACAAATATTATTGCAAGTAAAATAAATGTAAAGAATAGACCTTAGATTTACATGCAATTTCTGTCTTTTTACTATTTTTTTTATAGAATGAAAATAAATAAGCTAAACTTTATCTTTTTCATTTCTTTTATTACGACTTCAGACATTCTTCAAATTTATCTCAGTAATTATTTAGAAAATGTAATTTCTGTTATTTAGTTAATAACTGAACGAAAATGGAGCATTTCTACTTCAATATTTTTGCCATTACTTTGAAGAACAGATATTTCTTTTATTAATTTGCTTTAACTAATTCAATATTGTAACTATTGAAGTTTTAGAACTTTAAACTATCTGAATTTTAGTTATACAGATTAATTTTGATTTAGTTGATTCGTGAATCACTCAATTGAAATTATTTAGTTTTCATAGTTCAGACATATTTAAAATATAAATAATAACTTAAATAGTATTTTTAAAGTAACATTTACAAGGAATGGAAGGTCAGATTATTGTAGAAATATAAGTTTTAAAAAAAATCTGATTTAGAGTTAGAAGTAATATAATTCTTCGTTCTCATAAAAAAATTTATGCATTCATTTGTAAAATTCTTTTTATTATTTTATTTACAAAAAAGAAAATTTCTACAACAATTTTTATTTTCCTTATAATTAATTCTCTTTAACTATCTAGGATGCAAGTTATGTGGACTTTGGTTTCAGCATTGCATTTTTTCTCTTACTGATGTAGTATTCCTGATTTCAAAGAAAATCTTCACACAGGATTGATGCTTTTTTTTCTTCTTAAATTTTATTATATTTAGAAGACAATAGTGAAACATCGATTAAAAGTATTGCTGCTGAAATACCAAGAAGAAGAAGAAGAAGGAAAAAAAAATATCTGTCTGTTCTGTATAGCAGTAAATAAAATGAAATAAAAGTATGACATTACCTGCTACTCATTTAAACCCCATTCATGCTAAAGACATTTGAAATTATAAAGTAACTGATTTTATAAAATGGCATATCTATGTTTAGAAGGGGAAAAGAAAGCTTATAAAGTTAAACTTTGAAAATACAATAAAAATGGCTAAATAATTGTAGCATTTATGTTTTATTTTAACTGTTTTAATTTATATATGCCATTTTGATTAAACAATAGCCACAGTTTTTAATTTACGGAAGGGCAGAAATACCAACTATTTAGGCTCTTGCGAATAAATTTTTTCAATGGTAGTGATTTAAAGCAGAATTTTTTTGAAACCAACAGAAAAAAATTTTAGAACTTAAACATTCATCTATATGAATTTTTATGCATCTATTGAAATAACTTGTGTTTAATGGTGAAAAAATTCTTTTTATTCTAATTTATTAAAACAATAATACAATACCTTTTCTATCACTAGGAAAAGTATTTTCTGAAACTATGGAGAATTTGTAGTAGTAGGAGTCTCTGCAAAAGGACCTTAAAATATTAGCATATTTGGCCAGCAGAATTTAAAATAAAAAAAATCATCGAGAGTTTGTTAAAGACGCTAAAGTTTTTGAAACCTTCAACACTACATTGAGTGTCAATGATAAATTCAAACTTATTTTTGACATTCAAATCTTACGATTTAGGCATGTTTATAGTTAACGAATTGAAAAGAAATACAAAAATGTAATCCCAGTCTTTATTCATAGTTGAAACATAATATAATATGAACAGGGAGTAGTTTAAAATTGTTCATAAATCTTGACTCTTTTTGTTTATAAAATAATTCTGAGAAAAGAAATGTTTTATCGCACTCACTTTCAAGGCATTTAATGTATTTATTTTATTTACGTTTGAATTCTTCATCTACCAAGCTGTGGCAGCTAGGTTCTTTCGGAGACTCTTTTGCATTTCCTCCTATTTCATTCTATTTTTACACTGATCCTACAATTTCACCAAAATAATTAATCTACTATTGTAGACTTCTTTTTGTTGGGTTGCAAGCTGCAATTTGTTATCTATAAACTACGCATCTTTCAAAACTTGAAAAAATAATTATAAATAAGAAATAAGGATAACCATGTTGTTTTTAATTTTTAAAACATATGTTTCCAAAAAGATTTGTTTGCGTGAAACGAAATGGCAATAATGATTTCTTTAAAACATGATTTAAGCATGTTGATATTGTAATGGTTAATTTTAAAAAGCTGTCGATTTTATAAATCTGCAATTTTTTCAGTGTCAAGAACTGTATAGTGTTTTATGGGCTTTCGAAAGTTAATCTAATTAAATTTTTTTCAGTCGCATTAATATCGTCTATGCTCTCAAAGAAAAATAACAAGACAAACTCTATCACCTTAAAATTTATGAATCATAATTTGTTGCTTGAAATAAACACAAGTCATTAAAAAAACGAAGCAGTTGCTTAACTTCCTCAAGTGAAAACTTAAAAGTTCTTGATAACCAGCATTATACCAAATAGAACATTATATATAATAAGTGTCGATGATTCAGAATTATTTTAAAAGCAAGACTATTAAGTCCTTCAAAAAGTTCTGGAACTTAATTAGGTTTTTATCTTAGAAGTCTGGCAGTTGTTTCGAAATACAAATTATTGATCTCATAAAATAATAATACAATTGCATTTTTATGACATTTTATATCAAAGGATCAACATTTAATTATTCAAAATGCTGAAATTTTTTTCTATAGTAAAGTTTTATAATAGTAAACTATATTGACAAGTACATGACTTTATCATATTCATTATTAAATGATGTATGATAAATATAAAAACAATAAATAAATTTTATAAAATGCAACAATGAATGCTGAAGGGCCAAATGTTTTTGGTATTAAAGCTAATTGGACTCTTTCTTAATAGAAAAAACATGTTAAATAACATTTTGAAAATTATCAATCTCCCAGGTTTAAAAACAATAATAGTTTTGAACATTAATCTATTCTGTTAAATCTTTTACAGTATTTTTTAAAATAGTAATTACAAACAAATTCTAATATATAAAATAGTTTTTTTTTGATTTAATATTATCTGTCTAAACAGTTAAAGTCCAATTAATATTAAGAAATTTTTTTTTTTTTAAATCTCACATGATAAATATATTTAATTGCAAACAAAAAGTAAAATAAAATTAATTTTATTATGTTTCAAATATTGATTTTTATACTTGACATTGAAATAAATATTTGAAAACTCTTTCATAGAATTTATTGAAATAATAATCAAAATAATAATAAAAAATATTAATTTTTAAACTGCGATACATAAAAGATGTATGAAGTAATGACAAATTAAAATCTAATAGAATACATTAATTATCTTATATTTAACACCATGTTTCCACTTGATATCTTTTATGAAGTTCCATAGTTTTCAAATATTTTATGCATTCATTATTGCTAAGATATCCTTCTTTTTCAAAAACTTTAAGGAATGCATCTTTAACGCCTTCTGGCATTTGTTTAGCATTTCCTGCAATATAAACATAGGCTAGTTTGTGATTAATAAGTTCCCACAATAAAGTACTATTCTCAACAATTTTGTGCTGAACATATACTTTGTCTTCTTGGTCGCGAGAAAAAGCAGTGAATAGTGTCAGCATATCTTTCTCTTCAAGCTCTTTCCAACTTTCAGAACACAAAAAATCTTTCTCTTTGTACCTACACCCAAAAAATAAATGGTTGTCACCAATCTTTTTATGAGCTCGATGCTCGACAAACGCTTTAAATGGAGCACAACCGGTACCAGGGCCAATCATTACTATTGGATCCATTGATCCTGGTAATGCTATTGAACCTTTTTTAGTATAAAAAGGAATTTTTGAGCCTTCAGGAAGATTTGATAACCAATTCGAGCAAAGTCCTTTTCTCGTTTTTTGTAAGCGAGTTTTATAATTTACGACAGCGACTAAGAGCTGAAATTCACAACTATGAACTGATAGGGCAGAGGCTATCGAATAAGATCTTGGACGAATAGCAGGTATCATATCAAAAAAATATTCAAAAGGAACATGCGGAGTAGTGTGAGGGAAATCGAGCAATACTTCCAGAATATTACGCCTCGGTCTGTTGCAATACTCATAAAGTTCTTCTTGACCTTCAGCAGTAGTAAATTCGAGTAATTTTTCCTTCTCAGTTTCATCTTGACTGAAATGGTAAAAAAACTCAAAGAATGACCGTCGTGGTATACTTAATACATCAAAATATTTTTTAACACATTCCCTAACAGTACATGGATATGGGGTAAGTGGAGGAGGCGGTGTATCTTGATCAGCCGGGACAATAATAAACGGGTCATCGAAGGGAACCTTTAAAAGTGAGAGGAATTCATTGACTTCATGAGGTGGGTTCTCAGGCCATACAACAGCAACATCACCAGGTTCATAAACTACTTCAGGAGAAATCATAAAGCTTACAAGATTTACTGTTTGGAAATGGTCATCCGAAGTCTCCTTTTTTATGGATTTAAGAGTAGCTTGTTGATAATTTTGCATCATACAATCATTATTAAAATGAATGTTACCATTCTTTTCTAAGAATTTGACTTTGAACTTAGGAGGTAAAGGTGTATCATCAGGTATATACGATGCATTAATGTCATAATAGGATGAAAATATATCTTTCAATTTTTTTAACCAAGGATCGAGAGCAGCATCATATCCTAATTCATGTTGATCATCACCCAGAGCAATGGGTAGTACTTCTGTAGCACCAAGTTGAAGTAATCGCTTGTTTAGCTTTTTTGCTACGACATTAAATTTTTCATATGAAGAATCTCCTAATCCAAACACACAGAATTTCAGATGGCACAGAGAACTAGTAGGATGATTTTTGCGCAAAAGGAATTTCCAAAAAGCTTTCATATTATCTGGAAACTCCCCATTACCTGTGGTGGAGCATATGAATATAACCATTTTTTCCTCCAGCAGACGAGAAATTCGATAATTTTGAATATCACGTACAAAAGGTTTTAGTCTCATCCTAGTAAGTAATCTCCCAAGTCGTTCAGCTACATCTTCAGAATTACCAGTCTGAGTACCAAACAAGATTGAAATTTTGGACGAATTCATGACAGATAATTAAATCATACAAAAACAATAAATTATATAGATAAGGTTTAAAAAGTTGGTTTTATTGAAGTTACATACATTTGCTGACTTGTGCGCTCAATATAGGCTTATAAGTCATTTGTTTAAAAAGGATTTAGCAATTTTAAATAGCAGAAACACACACAATGTGGTTTCTGTTTATTGTTTACGTCAGTGAAAAAGTTACAGTTCTAACGAAACTAACAAATTCTGATATTTATTTTTTCGTCTCATGAATGAAGAGCATACGAAAACGATAAATTGGTTTTCAAATAGCTCATTATACTTGGAAATTTCAATTGATTCCATATATAGTGAAAAATTAATTTACTATTTTTTCTCATGCTCGTTGCCTTTATTTTAAAATAATTTTATTCTGTGTTACATTATTAACTACAACCTCTCGTTTAATGTTAGTATTTGTTTTTAGTTTTTGTTATCTGCTTTTGTGTTTATAAAATCAATTTTTACAGTTGACAAAAATAACTCCGTGTTATGAATGGCCCCTCCAACATGAGAAATATATTCTTTTTATACTTATTGCTAAAAGGTTTTACTTGATATCTAAATATATCTAGAAAATTCGTCGCAGTTTGGTGCATTTCATTTGTGTTTGCATAGCTCTTGTTCCAATATTTGTTGTTCCCCTAGCTTTGACTGTAGTAAACGCTATGTATTTATTTTATTATAACTTTTATTAAAACTGTTTATTCATAGCATATCTATGGGGAATTGTTTTGGGTGCTGTATGAAACGAAATATGAGGTAAATTATCTAAATTTATTTTTTGGTTTGTTTTCTGTTTTTCTATTTCTAATATTTTTGATAATATAGTTTTTAGCACCTAATAAATACAAAATATTAATGCTACAGTTGATTAAGTGTTATATATTGTTTAAATTTGGGCTTCTTAATCGAGAATAATTAATAAATAAAAATTTCTGCACTCTAAATTTGGAAAAGCAGTTTTAGACAATTCATAAGTTTGGTTAGGCATAATTTCAGAAATATTAGTTATTTAATTGTGTAATTCATTAAATATTAAACGTTTTTCGGTTTACTCTGAAATTATTGTTTTGTAAGACTACTTTTATCACCCATATAAAAATAGAAGAATAAAGATTCAGTACACCTAGACTTTTGATGCATTAGGTTATCTGACAAGCCATGAACCATCGAAACATTTAGCATAAATGTACCTAAACTCTTATGGTTAAGCTGTACTATAATTTGCTTAAAAATATTACATTTAGTAAACGTCACCATAGCAGCTTCGTTATAAATATTAGAGTGTATTTATTAGCAAAGTTGTTAAAAAAGCAGGAGCTTATAAAAATCCAAATTTATTTTAAATATTGTAGCTCTCACAAAACACGAATTATTGCTCATACAATAATAAAATTATGAAATATGATACATAAAGTCTAACAAGAGTTATGGTTAAAATATTGTAAACATTTTAAGCATATTGTTTTAATATTAATTTCAACTTTCTAGGAATCTTTGTGAATCAATTATATATTAGAGATAAAATGTACCAGGGTAGATTGCTAGAAAATAAAACGCTAAAAACCCTGTGGCAGAACCACAGCAACATTGTGCACAACGCTACAGAGTTGTTGAAAGATATTTCCTTTGAAAAGAAAATGTTAATTTTCTTTTCCGCAGAATTTTCCAAAAAAATTTTTTTCTCTTCCTGCAGACTCCAATTTAAAAAATGCCTATCTTGCCCATCGGAGAGGGAAAAAATGCTTGCGATTTTTCTATTTTCATTTCAGGAAAAAAAAATTCGATAATGACTGACTGTAACTATAATTTCAAATCCATATATAAGCCAAAGTCACATAAGTTTAAAAGATAGTTTGGTGTAGAAATTATGTCCTTTTTTTTGTGTGTGTTTTTTTATTTTTATTTTATAATCGAACACCATATTTTATATTTTAATAAAATATGACTGTGTTCTTTAATCATTCAGAGTTTGTGCAGATAACAACATAAATATACAATTTTTTTTTATACAATTATTTTTTTACGAAAAATTATTGCTATTAGTTTTTCTTGTTCAAAATAATACTAATATTATTAAGGCACACAAAGCTCAAATGGCTGATTCAAGAGATCACTCTTTGACACTCTCGGTTTGTGCTGATATCATTATTAATCCTTGCAATAGTTTAATCTTTAATTGCACAAATTTTCTTATTTGGAAGAAAAAGAAGCTATGTTTTTTTTATAATTATAGCTCGCGACGAAACTGAAAACGCCTATATGATTATTTAGTTTTAATGGGAAAATTTCATAACTTTTTGTATTTTTTGGTCAGTTATTTCTAGTGTTATCTATTTTACGGGTTTTTTAAAATTTGGGTTATTTCTCAGGCAATTCTATTTTTACATGTAAAATTTGAATTGCATATTTAAATAATCACTTTTTGACATGCTTTATTTTTGCCTATAGTGTCATAAATCTATGTAATGTTACAATTGTATTTTCATCAGTTACTGATATTCATTTTCACATGGTTTTTAAATATTCCAATATATTTCAAACGATAGTTAATTTGAATGACGCATTTGAGTATTTACTTTTTACCACCAAGATTGTATATATATTTTTGACAGTTATTCCAGTTGATTTCTGTTATATTATTTATAACAACGATCAAATCTCGAAATGAAACGCGGATTTGAATAATCTCATTTTGAAGAGTCCAATTTGCGCGATTTTGCCCTCAATATTTTTTTGATAGTTAATATTATGGATTTTACATTTTTTATTATTTTTTTTAACGTGATGAGAATTTACAAGGTGCAAAAAAGAAAGGGGAAAAGTGCGTTCCCTCTACAGAATGTGGGAATATTGTCTATAACTATAATATTAGAAATTTTTTATTTTATTTTTTTTAAACATAATGTTTTGTTACTTACAATCAGTAACATATATATTTGTTATTATTAAAATAAAGTTGCAGAAAGATATTAGTGCCATGGAGGTTTGTTGCAAAAAGCCAGAAAAAATTCTGATACAGGGGCTAGAAGTATTTCAAATAGATTACGATGTTAATATAATCACTTGCAATTTTTCTACGTTTGCTTAAATTTATTATTTGTGCATTAAAATTGTTATCTTTAAAAATGTTTGGTATTAAGAATTTTATCACAATTTGCATGTTTAAAAGTAATTAATTTAATGTAAGAGCAGTGAAACTTCTTGGTAGAGAGCAATCTGTTGTTCACAGTAAAATGGTTGTTAACAGAGCTTGATCGTTTTTAAGGGTTACCTTCAATAACTTCAAAATGTTATCAAAAGTACACGATTTTACACAAGTGATTTTAATTTTGGTCAGTCAGTGTCATTTTCTTGGTATAAAAATGCTACTTGCGTTGGTGTCATGGATCAATCAATAAAATTAAGCATCAATAAAAATGACCTTTATTGATATAATTATGTGTAAAAAAATTCTTCAATTATGAAAGATGGATTTATATTAAATAAATAAACAATTAAATTTTTTGTTTAAGTTTACATTTAATTTTATATCATTAAATTTAGTTTATTTTTAAAAAAAATAAAAGATTTATTTGAAGAGCTTAGTTTTTTTCTTAAATATTTTTTTTCTAACTAATTCATTCCTGACATTGCCTTTGGTATACTCAGATTATAAAATGAAGTTGAGAGATCTCTTTCAGAGATTATCAAAAAGAGCTCTCTAAATAAGAGCCACTCAGAATAAGACTCTGAATAAGAATATTTTGAATCTGCTTATTTGTTTTGTTAGTATTTTGATATTTTTTGATGTTTTCTTATTTGACCTTTTCCGCATTTGGTGTAGAGGTTTCTCCAGTTGCTGGGATAGGTTTTGATGGTTTCTCCTAAAGGTTTTCTTCAACACGTAAAAAATTCTGTGCCTTCCAAAAGTGGTCGTAAATAGAGAAGGTTGCAACACAGAGGTGATCTTTCCAAGAGGTTTCACTGTATATTGAAATAGAAATCTCATTATTTTAAAAGGAAAAATGAAGGGTTTGACTTTATAATTTTAAAAAATGTGTGAACATAATGGTTTTTTAAAATTTTTATTGCTTTCCTTGTTTTATTTTGTAGAATGTGTTTCATTTTATTGACTATTATTATTATTTTTTCCTCAGGAAAACTACAGGTAGAGGCAAATATTTGCGCAGTGGTAGCTGTGAAGAAGTTATGGTATGAGCTATTTTTTTAAATTTTATTTTATTGTAACTATGGAAGATTAATATATATTTGGTTTTATTATGCAATCAAATATTAGGATTTAATATTTTAAAAAAATTTTATTTAGGTACACTTGATACAAGACTGGAACAGTAGCCCTTACATTTTGCATTCTTGTTTTACCTTTACTATGTGGTAAACTTTAGTTATCTTTAGTTCTTTTATTTGTTATTATTTTTGCTCTTAAGTTATTTTGTAATGTTTTAAAATACTTCTAAAATATTTAATTTTGTTTTGTGTTTATTTAAATTATTTTCTATGCATACTAATTATTTTTATTCTTATCTAAAATAATTGTAAAATATATGCATGCTGATCCCCTATCTCTCAGCATTTTAGAATTTTTGTTTTTAATTTTATTGATCAAAAATTTTATTTGATCTAGCTTTGTCATCAAATTTTAAAATATGAAGTGCCATAAAAGACATTACATTGAATAATATTAAGTATTATAAGATATTGATTAGTGTCTTAATATAGAAATGGTAGATCATACATGATTTTTGCTAGAAAAGGAATGTAAATCAGAATTCAAGACATTATTAATGCTTCTCACTTACACTATTTCTGTAGTAGCTATTGATGTTGATAAAAAAATTCAATATTATACTTTTTATCTTTTTCTGTTCAGGTATCTCCGGAGGAAGAGTTTTTGGAGCTTGAACAACGTCATAAAAATGATTCTGAAGTTCCCGTCACCACAGAAACTACTGAAATTCGTAAAATACCCCGACCCAATAAACTTAATTTTAAAAAGTCAAATTTTGTCTGGCGGAAGAATGAAAATCGTATGATGTCAGGGTAATTTTTTTTTAACACTTTGTTTATAATCATTTATGCTATCATATTTTAAAAGAAATATTTGCTTAATGTTCACTTAATGTGAAAGAGGTAAAATGTCTGGCAAATATTTTTGAAAAAAAAGCATGCCAATAACCTGTGGAAGTATTGATATATTATGTAATTTGCTAACCTTTTGACTTCAGCAGCAAAAAGTAATCAAAAACTGCAATGTAGTTTGCACACTATTCAAAGTCCATGCTGGCTATTATATGTGATATGTACTTATTCATGTCCTTCTAACATTGTTCAGTAAATCTATTTTTTTTTTAAATTGATATAATAATCAAAACCGATACATTTATTTATTCTTAAAAATTATATGGTTTGAAAAATTAAAAAATAAATTAAATAAAATCACACATTCTGTGCAACGTTTTCCAACTAATAGTCCTCAAAAGAGTTCCAATTGATTTTTAAATAAATATTTACCTTCTTAAAGTTTTATTGTGGTTTTTGTACCATTTTTGCTTAGAAATGAATTTTTACTATTAGAAATTTAACCTTTCACCTTTAAATTTGTCGTTTTTCTGTAAATCAACTCTTTTTCGACACATACTTTAGGTCATAAAATATTTTTTGTTAATTATGATTTTTTACACAATAAATAAGCATAATTTCAACTTTAAAGTTATACTTTCAAAATGTAAAAATGTTTAATGCAGTTTTAGAAGATTAAATTTTAATTTTTAAATTTTAAATTTTTTTTAAATATATTATCCACGTTGCGCATGATATCACAAAAAGTTATTAACATAATTTTCTAAAATTGACATATATCTCTTTGTAAATGTCTAAACAGTATTCTGAACCAAAAAAAACAATGAGATTTAATAAATTTTGTATTTTTTTGCTGTATATAAAAGTAAAACTCTAATTTTTTAGCAAAAAATACTAGTAAAAAACAGCACAATACAAAAATTTTTAATGAAAAATGAAATATTATTGGTTTAAATTGTAGATCTATATGCATAAGTTATTGGTGTAAAATTTTATTTTTTTCCAATCAGTAGTTTTTCTGCTACTTTGCGCGGAAGCTTAAAAAAAAAACAGTTTTGTGAAAATTGCATCGAAAGATAATTTTTCAAAAATATCATATATATATGTGACATAAAAAACTTCACTTAATCTTTTTATGTTATCCTAATTAATTATTCTAATAGAAATACTTTCTCACACTTTTAAAAGCCACATCCTGCTCTTAAATCTATTTTTGGCTCAAGTATGCATTTAATTAAAAGCAGGACATTTTCTTCTTTGCAGTCTTTGCACTCTCATTTTAATTAAAAAATTTTCATATAATATTATAGTTACGCTAAAATTCATTATAATTGCTCAAAAATCATTAAATTCTGAAAAAAACCTTTTTTTTATTTGACAATAACTTCGTCAAAAAACATGTTTTTTGGAATTTTTTTTTTAAATAAAAGCTAAAAGTCCAAATTTTTCAATGGTATAATAAAAATTAACAATATCTAACCCCTTTGTGCCCGTACATCGCGTCAAACTTCACAAAAAATTAATACAATTTTCTATGATTGTTTAGAGTGTAATTGTACATAGTTGCAAAATATATTAATTAAAAACAATTAGAGTACATAAAAGTAGAGATTTTGAGCTTCAAAATGAGCTACAGCAGAAGCATTTTTGATCATTTTTAAAGAAGTTATGACACTTTGAATTTTGCCACTTTTTTATAAGTTTCTAGGTGTACTGATACTTTTGAGCGGTACTGTATGTTCAATATTAAAATTTTTTGATAATTTAACATCTATTTTATTTATTATATTTAACTTAATTAGTTTTAAATTTTATATATTGACATTTCTCGACAATTGGTTTTGTTCATATTTACATAAGAATTAAATAAGAATTTATGATAATAAGAATTTAAATTATATACAAAACTTTAGAAATTATAAAGTATAAAAAAAAATAATTGTGAAGAATATTTACATCACATTTTATCAAATTCCTAAAAATTATTTAAATAATAACAATACACTAAAGTGGTAATTATCAACTACAAAAAGAAAATTTCAATATATTTATAGCTTTAGCTTATTAGCTTTTGTTTTCATTTAACTTTTCCTTTTTTTTTTATTGTTCTCTTCGAGATTCAATAGAATTTAAAAGGCAATGCTTTTCAGCCTGCTTTATGCGAGTGCAATCCACTCGCATTGTGAGTAAATAGCATTTAGGCCTGAATGTAAACCAATCAGTCTTATGACATTTAAAATACTTTTTCGGCCATCATTAAACAAAAGTATAGCCTGATATACAGCAATTTCTGCAGTTATCTTCCCACAATTTGAGGTTTTGGGATAGATCTGCCATATCAAAGAATTGAATGATTCATTGTTGTTTTGGGAACAAGCACCCACACACCTTTTCAAAAGATCTGGATTAGCTAAAGCTTTAAAAATTGGCTTTACAGCATCCATTACAACTGAAGGTATAATTTGTTTATGGTGAAACACATTTTATTCTCCACTTAAAAGGGCTTTTTGATACTTGCACCAAGAACTCTCCCCTTCTGGACAAAGGCTGTACAGAGGTTCCGTATCACTCGAAGGCAGATGAAAATAAATTTGCCCAGATAGATTTTTTCATCTTTTCTGGGCAATCTGAATTGCTGCGTATGGCATTCCCATAATACACGGAAATAAGCTTGATTAAAGCTTCGGTGAGTCTTCCTTTACCGGATAAACTCTTACCATCAGCAAGTTTTTTTCCGCTGTACTCTTCTTTTAATTTCCTCAATCTTGCCCCCATTCTTTTTTGAACTTGTCCAACATATTCAATTTTTTTTTATATTTGTGCTGTATGGACTACTAGCTACAATTGAAGAAAATGTTTTAGTGTTTCCATCTCCAATGTAGCTAGTATATCTTACCCCTCTCTCCAATTCAGATCTTTTAAAAATTTCGACCATGCCATCAACTTCCATCTTACCAGATGAGCCGACATGATTTTTTGTGCATAATGAAAAATGCTTTGCTTCCCATTCTTCATATTTTTCCCCACTTCTGGGACCTTGGGGGGCCTGACAACCTTTGCACGCTAGCGATTTAACTTCGACGTCTAACACTTTGCCTGAATTTGCTCCTATAACAGAACAAACACCAATTTCAGATGTATGCCCTCTCGTTTTCCACGCTCCATCTCCACTGACTGTCAAATCAGTGGAGTTCTTTGTTGCTGCTATTTCTTGCACTGTTGCTTTTTTCATACTAGAAATAGCTGCTTCTTTAACCGCACTCTGAATCGAGCGAGAAATTTTGGTATAGGTCGTGCGACAAACAGGAGCATCGAGATCCATAATGGCACAGAATGTTTTTAAAGACTCTTGTCCTTTTCCAATGCAACACATTGCATATATTGATCTGTGATTAACATCAGATTTTTTATTTTCTCACCAAACAGGTTACTATTTCTGAAAGATAAAATTCCACATATTTCACAAGTTGAAACTAAGTTCAGAGATAAACCACAAATGGCCTTGTCACTTACAGTGACTTTGCTGTTGCAGTCTTTACACACTAAATGTTCTTCTAAAGCAGCAAACAANTTCATATTTACATAAGAATTAAATAAAAATTTATTCTTCTAAAGCAGCAAACAATAGTTGCTTGTCCACAAGCATAAACCCTTTAAAGCTATTTTCTGCTTTAACTGATTCACGAGATGTAGTATTGTCACTATTTAATTTAGAGCTTGAAGAGCTAATGTTTAATTTAGTTTTGGTTTCAGATGATAATAATTGAGAGTGCTGATTTCCGTGAAATCTCCGTTTCTATGCATGTTTCCCAGAAGACGACTTGCCCTTCATTATTACAAAACAATAAAGCAGAAAAATAAATATCAAATGCGATAAATGCAGCTGATTAATAGCAATTAATAACAAAAAACAAAAACAGTAAACAACGAAAAAAATAATAGCAACAAAGCACGAAATAATGACCACAAAATATAAAAACTATTCGAAATGGTGTGAAAAACAAACAAAACAGATATTTAGGAAGAGAAAAGATTAGTTGTCACTTTCCTTCTTACGAAACTGTTTGATTTATCAAGTAATATCTTGCTAATGTCAGCCACAAAAACTAAGAAAATGTGAAAGCTGTCAGCAAGTGGGCGTGGCCCAGTTAGTTTCGGTCTATGTATATTGACATTTTTGGCTATAACTTGACTAATTATTGGAATTTTGACATGGGACTTGTGTCAAAATATTTCTAAAGAGTTCCTTTATAAATTTTTTTTTTTTTTTGAAAAATCGAAAATTTTGAAGGTTTTAACGTGGACAGCCCCCTTAGTAACATTACACAGCTTTGTCGAGATATGCCCCCAACTGCAAGTGCAGATATTCGATTGTATTGTAGAAGTTCTTTTATTGTAAGCTGCGCTATCTGATGCCACGTGAAAATTTACTGCATGAAAGGTCGCTGAATTAGCGCATCTATTACATATAGTAAATTAGGTATGAAATATGTGATTAAATGGTTAAAAATTTAGCAAATATGCTGTAAATGCGTGTATGCAATGAATCAGAAATGATGCTTATGAAGTAATGCAATAAATTTCATAATTTTTTAGATTTGTGCAAAATTGTACCGTATATAATTTTTGCACAATTCAAATCCAAAACAGTTATAAATGCATCATATCAATAAATACTAATTTAAAAGACTCCAATTTTATGTAAATTGAATGATTAGCCACCTAAAAATAGCTAAAATACAATTTATGAAAGTATAGTATAGTAGAGAAAGTATAATATAATGAAATATAGTACAATTAATGAAAAGAACCATACTTTGGGTTAAATTGTATCATATAGAACAATTTTATCTTTTTTTTGTAATTGTCATTGAACAGCCGACCCAATTTTGGGTTTACGACTACCAAAATTCAATTCCGTAACCTTGTAATTTTGAACCCTATCCGGAAGACAAGGGAACTCCTGGATCAAGTATTGGGAAAAATTTACCTTCGTGGAGGATGTTGCATTACATGGAGAGGAAGACCACTAGAACCTCCCACAATAGTCTGACAGAAAGGGGATTCAAACCAATGATCTGTCTACCACTGAGGATATTTCACATCAGCACTGTGGTCGGTGCAAGCCAGATGCAGAATTTGTATCCCAGCCATCGCCAGGACTCGAACTCTGTTCACCTCATTGGCAGGCGAAAGTTCAATCCCCTGAGCCATCCATATAGAACAGTGGTTACCAGCTGGCGGCCCGCAAACTAAAATATATTAGTTGTCATTTTTTTGCGGACAATTTACGTAAAAATTCCACATGGGTTTCAAATATTTTTCTCGTTTAAAAAAAACCTAATTTCTTCATTTCTGTGAGATTTAACATATCAACATTGCAAAAAAAATTATTGTTGCTCTTTTTTATTTCGTTTTTTTTAAAAATTGTATTTTGTGAATATAATTTAGCATGTGCGTATCAGAAATTTTGTTGGATTTAATGTTTTGAAACAACTCATTTTGGAAGAAGCTATTTACATCTGTAAATTTTAAATTTAAAATGTAAATATCTATTCTGGTGGTTGTAGCTGACAAATGTCAATTAGCTCATTGAACATTTTGTGTGCTACTATGTAAGTTTTAAAACCAACCTTTTTAAAGTTTTATATCTTAAGAATTAGATATCTGTTGAACATTAATTGTTTAATACATAAGTGCACATTAAAGTTATTGTAGCCAGAATTTTTTACTATGCAATTAAATATTTTTAGAAATCTACTTCTTTTTTTAATTTAATACTTTTGTTTTGTACAACTTGATAAAAATCTGACAGTAATATTTAATTTTCCTTCAAACATAAAAGAGTCCTGTATAAAATTTTCATAAAGTTGCGGCCCACCATTTGACTGGCAGGTGTTTTTAATTCTGACCCCCGGCCTCATGTAAGTTGGAAACCACTGATATAGAAGAATTGCGGTTACATCACGTCTCTTAAATGTAATTTGATTTAAATATCGTACATCAAGTAATTAACCAGCTAAAAATACTTATATTTAAGGCAAAAAAATTATTATATTTCAGTTAAATAAATCTTTTTTTTTTTGTACGAAATTGTGGCCCAAAATAATCTTGAACACATCTTTTAATATTCCAATTATAAATAAATTAAATGATTAAACATCTAAAAATTGTTAAAATAAACTTCAAATATAGATTAAATAAATAGAAACGTTTTTTAAATGGGCACTCAAAGAAAATAATAATAATAAAAAAGGGAAAAGCAGGCATTATTCCTTTACCCATGTTTTAATCGTGTTGCATCATTTTATTCAAACATTTTTAAGTTTTAAAATCAGTCATCTCCAAGAGCAAAAATAATTATACGAATATTGTGAATAAACTTGACCTTCAAGATAGATTGCTTAAGCATTTCATCCCTACTCATCCCTTTTAGAGAATGATATGCATTTTTCTCTTAAAATTTTCTTTTCTCCACACTTGCGGTAGAAAAAAAAGAAAGAGGGAGGGGTAGTTGTCCTTATGACACCCTATTCACCCAAGGACTGAAAAAAGGTGCCTGAAGGCAGTTTTCTGCTGTCATGAATCTGACAAAAGACTTATCAAATTTTCACCATTCCGGATGTAGAGAGCCCCGTCTTGCAAGGATAGTCAGAAAATTAGAGCCTGCGTGGCAGTGTTTGCTTTGAAGCATGCTAGGAGAATTGGAGGTAAAAAATTCATTCTCCTTGTGATGCCAGACCTCGTGTCTCGGTGATGTAATTCTCGATGTGATTGCAGGAGGAATATTAATCGATGCCGTCTTTGGTTGGGGTGAAAAATCAGTTTTTTTTGTACCCTCTTGTGACGTCATGTAAATGGGGAGACTAATTCCTGTTATGATTGCAGTCTCTTATTAAGTATTTTTAAATTTTTTGTCTTGGACGAAAAATTGAAAAATCTTTTAGGTACAGTAAAGTGCCGATTATCCAAACTGCTCGGGACCGAACGTGGTTCGGATAATGAAAAGTTCAGATAATTGAAAAGTTGTTTAAAATCCAGTTATTATTTTTGCACTAACATTCCTTCAAACTTTTTCTAGGCTTAGGACTGGCAGTACTATCTAAAATAGCTCTGGCGTGTTTAAAAGTTTTTTTTTAATTTTTAAATATTTTTTATTTATTTTTTTAATTTTATTTTTCATTTTGAATTAATTTTCATATTTCAGCTTTTTATAATTTTTTTGTCAATTACTGATTTTACCATACTTTTCTTTATTTTTCATTGCAAAAGAAATCCAGCGAAGACTTTTGTTTCAAAGAAGATGCTCTTTTTTTAGCAGCCATATATCCCTTATTCCTTTCAAATAAATCAACTGAACCGGATCAGCATCATATTGACGTTCTAGCCAATTCATTGCAATATCTAATGAATTGCATACTTCTATATTAGAAGGTCCACTATCTTGAACTTGATCACCTACTTCTTCCTCTTCACCTGTGGATTTTCATTCAAAATTTCAGCAACAATTTTATTATCATTTAAAATCCTGTGTCGTTTTCAGTGTCTCGACACCAGTCTTCTATTTCTTCTGCTGTATAACCTGGCATCTTTTCACCCAGAAGATCTACTGGTTCAGAAACTTCAGTTTCATTTGTTTTTCTGTTAAGAATTTTATTCCAAGATTTAAGATTCTAAGCACTGTAATCACTAATCATTAACCATAAGTGACGACTACCTATCTCTCAATTGTAGAACTTCAGCACTTATTTATTCATAAACTCCTTCCGCAATCCAAAAATTGTAGACGGTCAAAATGAAGCTCGCATTTTTGGAAGATAATTTTCAGTTGAAGAGGGCTAAAGGGATATGTAGGTTTAACTGTATAAAAATACATGTATGTATGGCTACTATCAGAAAACTGCTAAGAAAGGTTGTAAATTAAATATGGTCCTCAGATGTAGTGGGTATTATTTATTCTTCTAAATTAAGAAAAATTGTCGCTAAGTTAAAATATTCTAAACTTTAAAAAGAAAAAAGAATTCGGACATAGTTCGGATAATTGGACGTTCGGATATTAAGGGTTCAGATAATCGGTGCTCTACTGTATATTCCTACATTTAAAAAAATTTTAATGTAGGAATAAAAAAATTAAAGAAAACGATATGAAAAAAATATAAGAAGAAAAAATAGAAAACAAACAAAGTTTTATGTTTATGCCTAACTTAAGCTGAATAGTTAAAGTGAATCAGAATTAAAAAGTGAATCGGTGTGAATTCTAAAAGCTATTAATGTTGTTTTTACATTAGAAAAGGTATAAAATACGATTAAAAATGTATTATTTTCTTTGAAAGGAACCTTAACTTTCACAAGAATATAAAATCACCAGCAGATTCTGTGATGCCTCTTTTAAATAGTAAGTTGTCTTAACTTTTCAAGGAGTTTACTTCCTAAATAGGACTGAATTTATTACAATGTGTTGATATCAATTTTCAGGAGAAAATTCATTTGCTGAAACATGCAGCTTTAATGGTACTCAAAAATGGGATCAATTTAGTAATGGAGGAGCTACCCCTGGCTCTTCTGTGGATTTAGAATGGGAAAATGAAATTGGTAAGTTGCATTGAAATGTATAGCATGTTTCAATGTTTTTTTTACCAATTTTTATTATTTGTAAAAGAATTATTAATTTTCTTTATAAATTTTTCCCAAAAGCCTTTTTAAACGTAAATTTCTAATCATAAACAAATTGTAAATTAATTTCGAGAAATATTTTTTACTGTTCATTAACCGATGCAATATTAGAAACAGAGTATGTCCTGTTACAATATCTAGTTTGAAAGTGGCAGATCCAGAGGTTTCTTTATTGATAAACTTGACTGAAAGGGTTACTTGTGGCTTCTTGAAGGAAGGAAACGTTGGCATCTTCTTTGGAAGAAGGAACACCTTCAGTTCATTTTCTGAAAGCAGTGATTTGTTTAAAGAGTATTTGAGAGATAAATTTGTTCTAGTATTCTGGACTTAATTATGATTAAATTCATTATACTTGTATCATGTTTTCTCAATTATAAAAGATTAAATTAGTTCTGTAATTTCCTTGACGACCTCGATGAACGCATTATAACATAATATGTAAATAAGAGATCTGCATTAAAGTCTTGTACGAAACACACATTGCAGATTGCATTAAATCCCCATCATGATGTAAAATTAATATTCACATGATTTATGATTATTATGAACATTCGAATGATTTACGACCAATTGTTTCACACATATTTTTCTATTCATATTTTTGCAAGTCATATTGAGCTGATATGTGCAAGCCAGACATGTAATCTGAGTTCCCTCATGTACTGCATTTAAACAAATAGCATATCGTGATTTGTTTTTATGTGCTTTTAATGATACTCTAAAATTCTTCCCACCATTATTTGCGTCTCAGTGGCTTGAAAATTATACATCGAGATTCAAATTCACGTTTTAAAAATAAAATGTCGTGATTCATATTCATTTAGGCTTATAATCACACATTGCAATTTGTATTCACATAATTTAAAAACACAATGTTACAATTTTTATCCACACAATTTTAATATTCAATATTATAATTCATATTCATAGGATTGTAAAATTAAACAACGATTTTCGTATTCGTGCCTGTTATTTCTCTTAACATGAGACACAAAACACATATTAACGCAGCGGACTGTTATTTTATTTGCACACTGAATTCACACACTTGCCTCTTTCGAGGTTGGTAATACACACACTAGTTCTCGTTTTTTACACAGAGGGCGTTGCTCGCATACAAAACTGAACATAAGTGCCATTTAAAAATGACACACCATGATTCATATTCACAGGATTTGAAAATAAAATATTGTGATTTAAGTTTTTAAAACCAGAGCTGCCCATCCCCTTAAAGCTGATGCAAACATCTTTCCCGAAATTTGACAAATTTCCCCTTATTTCTGCAAAAAAAGAAAAGAAAATATATATATTTTTAGTGATTTGTGGAGCGAGGGAGGAAAAAAGACAATAATTAATTTAAGAATTAAGCCTCACAAATTTAAGAAGGAAAGAAAATAAGCATAACAGCGCATCGATGGCAGACAGCTGGCTACTCGCAGTGTTGCAGGACAATGACTGACTGCTATATTTAGATAGTTTTAAGGAAAAGAATAACTTTTTCCTTGTAGGCAGCCTGGCACCTTCCAACTGGGAAGTAGGTGGTTTTGAGGATGATGTTCTATAATATCTACTACATATATATATATATAAAAAATTTTGTATATATATATATTAAATTTTTTTTATATACTTAAATTTTTTTATTTAAACAACAAAAATTTCTTACTTATCTCTGATTTAATTATTTTAAATTCACTGATAAAATATTTTGTTAAGCATTATTTTCAGAAGAAAAATTTTAAATTGCAAAAGAGAATCTGGGACAAAAAAAAAAAACATTGAAAAAAAAAGTCTCTTTTAAATTGCAATATAAAAAGGACACATAAAATGGTGTTGATATTTCTTTAAAAATTATCAATTTAACAACCCATTCCATTCAGGTAATTGAGGCTAAAATTAATGAAAAAAAGCATTTATTCAAGTGAAACTAAATTTATTATTTTTTTGAAAAATTAATGTGTGCAAGGATTAATTTGAAGTGTGCTTAAAGAAAGTAAAATTTTTTAAAATTACCTATCTCTTATAATAGCATATTATCATACATTATGTTTAAATTAACGGTGCTCTCTAAGGGTGTTAATCTTATGATTGAAATATTTAAAATTAAAATTAATTGTTGATTAAAAATGATGAAAATTTTATTTTTGTTGTTGTTTTTGTTCTTTTAAAGGTTGAAAAATAAATCCGTGTGCAATCGCATTTCTTGCTACTACTGCGAGCCTATTTGACGCAAAATACTAAAGCTCCTCTCGAAGCACTTGCACCCTTAATTATTCTTATCTGTTCCAAATATCAGTGTAAATTCAAAAGAACTTTTTAAAAGTAACATAACTGTTTTTTTTTTAAAGAATTTTAAATCAAGTTCAGTTCAAATCAAGTATCTATTACACATGCACAAATTGGCAAAAAAAAAAGAATTTTCGACACGCTAGGATTTTTAGTGTCTGAAATGACTTTTCCAGTTTCTTTTGGTTCGCTTTGTAACCCAAAGTAGTTCAGCTTGTTTAACATATATTAAAACGCAATAAACTAGTATTGTTTCACTACTATGCTTGTGTGTTGAGCTAAGCAGTTCTTAGGCAATGGGGTTTCTGTCCTAAGTTATTTTTAAGAAAATAATGCATTCAATAGTTAAGATTTTAAAATAAATGTTGATGTTTCTCTTACTTATAAGAATATACTAGGGCTATAAAAATATATAGCAAAAAGTAGTGGAAAAACAGTGTAGGCCTTTAAATTTTTTTTTAACCCATTGATGGCTCTGCACGTAAAAAGTCATATTTTAACCTGCAATCTTCTCTGCATAGCAAAACGGTTTTGCATTAGATAGTGAATTGGGCAGAAACATTCTCCCAATTTTGAGGCCAGTAGGTTTAATTGAATTTTGATAAAGAGAGCTGGCTTATAAATTTTATCATAGGTAAATAAGCACATGACTTTGGAGAATATTATAAGAGAAACTCTCTTTGTGTAAATTGATTTTTTTTAATCAAAAAATTGAAAATAAATTATTGCTATATGAATATAATTTTATTGCATGACCAAATTTTTTTTATTCAAAAAATTGAAAAAAAAATTATTGCTGTATAAATATAATTTTTTTAATCAAAAAATTTACAAGTCTAATAGCTTTTGGGATTCCTCATTGGATGTAATGACTTTGCTGTAATATTTTAAATGAAGTGAACTGTAGAACACAAGTTACATAGCTGCAATTTAATATTTATTAGAAATGCTCATTCATTTTAAATTTTGCTAAATATTTTATGTTGTAATAACTATTTTTTTGACTAAATTACTAAAAAATCAAATTTTTGTGCAATGCAGCCTAACATACTATAGTTTCTAAAACACTGCCAGAGTTAACTTTATCAAAAATAGTGTATTTTTTCATGATCATTGTCCTTTCTTATGATTCTGGATACAAGCTAAAATATTTCATTTAAAATATTTTGACTCTCATTGTTTGTGTATGTTTTTTCTTCTATTTTCTCAGACTGAATTATAAAAACATTTTTGGTGGGTTTTGACATACTATTAAAGAAAAGTAAAAAAAGTTTCTTCATTAAAAACAATGAAAAAATAGACCTTTTCCTTGACTTCATTAGAGAGGAACATGTTTATCAACCATGACATTATAAAATCAATAAACTAAACTCAGTGGCGCGACAGCCCATAGAGGGCCAAGGCCTACTGTGCCCATCTCAGTTTTCTTGACCTTGGGCTCTGGGGTGCAGGAGCAGATGTTCCGGTCAGGTGGTCAGCCGAACGCGGAACCCCCAGTGTTTAGTTCCCAAGCATGCTTGGTACTCATTTATCGACCCACTGAAGGGATGAAAGGCTGAGTCAACCTTGCCCGTCCCGAGGATCGAACCAGGGACCTGTGGCACGACAGCGCGAAGCGCTACCGCTCAGCCACCGGGCGTCATAAAATCAATAAGGGTAGTGAATTATCCTGAGAGAATCAAATTTTTGCAAAAGCAAGAATTTTTTAAAATATAATTATGAAAAAACTTTTTAGCATTTTGGTCGCCATTCATTTTCGAAACACATCGGTGGTATCTCATTCTAAATTCATTTTTATTTTAAACTTGACAATTTTGCTTTGAAAATGTTTTATGATTAGCTACTCTTTTTATAATTTTATTCAAACCCTTTTTTCGTCGAACGGTATTACCGAGGAAATTTATTTGCTTCCTAAGTCTGCCATTTTACACGTAGTCGTTTTATTCTAAGTTAAAATTTGATGTATCCACTCATCTTTCTTGCTACTGCAAAAATAAATTTGGGTGTTGCTATTACCAATATTTGATATTGTAGGATTTAATTCCACATCTAACTTTGGTGCTACAGAGGAGCTCCAATGGATGGTGCTATCAGAAAACACAAATAACTCATGGAGATCATCACCTCTCTCTAACAGCAATGGTTTGGAATGGGATGGTGACTTTGCAAGGTAACCTTTTTGCTTTTAATTTAAATTAACCTTATAGAAGCATTTTTTCACTATCTTATCTATCATTGTTTTGTTTTTTATATATTTTGATTAATTTAAATTTTTTTAATATTATTTTTAATTTTTCTAGTAAATAAGCACTTATTTGAGTCATTTGTCTGGCAGTTTTCAGTAAATGATAATTAATATAGTTAGTAAGAGTCAAATACAATTGAGTCATTTATGTGTCAGCCATAAGATATATTCTGTGGAATATAATAATCTTCTACTTCTTCTTTATATTCCCAGTAAAGAGCAGATAGTGTTAAAAAAAATCGTTATCAATGCCATGAAGGTATTTTTAATGGAAGTAACACTTTGGAAAATTGAGGTGTCACATTGTTTACTCAATTTCTCATTTTCCTTCTTAAAACATAGTTTAGATCTGCAGTGGACTGATCGTTAAGACACGGTTCCCAGCAGATCACCGAAGTCAAGCATCACTGGTTGCGGTCAGTGTGCGGGTGGGTGACCACTTGGATCAGTCTGCGTAGGGACCGAGGGTGTGCGGTATTGGTTCTCGTTAAACTGTTCTACCGTAAAGTACTCGACTTCGCGTGCAGGTCGCCTGGCTACCAAAGCGGGGGTGCCATCAGAGGATCAAAATTGTGTTGGCATGTCTTCGGATTATCCTCAGGGATGTTTCCCAGACCGTCGCCAATAGCCCATTGTGCAGCTCTAGTGCAACGTAAATGAACTACAACAACAGCAGAACACATTTTATGTACTCTGTCGTTTTGATATTAATACAGATTATCTGTTTCATTGGAATGAAACATATTTGTTTCCCTTACAATATTTTCCACTTCTCAAAATCTGCCTCTCATTTTTAATGGTAGTGAAGTAGTTTATTGTGATTGCCTTAAAAATGAGGTGTGAGAAAAAGAAAAAAAGCAACAATTGAATGTTGTTTAATACATATATTTTAAGTTATATAAAATATTTGAAATAATTATTGTCCATGATTTTTTTTTAAATCCTCTGTTGGTGTAGAAAGTTGCATTGTATCTAACCAGATTTTCCATGTTATTCAATAGTGTGAAGGAGTGAAGCATTCTACCAAATATGCCTACCTAGATGGTTAGTGAACATTTTATTCAGGTTTTTAACTGGACAGTGCAAAATTGTTTCAAGGGTGTTATTTAATATTTCGTTTCTAAGAGAAAGTATTAAACAAAAGTAAATGAATGAAATAAATAATACTTAAATATCAGACTTTTGTCTTCTGCCAGAATAGATAATAAAATTGTTTTTAAGAATTTAGACATAAAATATATCCGAATGTATACATTTTCATGACTAATCTAAGAAAAATGCTACTTTGTAGGTGAATTAAAATAAAATGATCAGCTACCTGATAAGGGTAGACCGAGAGTGAGAATCCAACCTCACCGCGTAATGCAAACTTGGGTTAGTTTCATTTGTCCCGATGCGGGAGCATCTTTTAAAATGACAGTAATATAATTGATAATCATTTATGTGTTAAAAAGCATTTATCAAAACTTTTGATTATGTTTTCAAAAATGTAATTAAATTATTGTATAAGATTAGTATTTTATGCATTCATTCTTGTGCAGTGTTGATATATCTGAAATTGTTGCTGAAACCAAGAAAATGACTGCTGATTTAGAAGATAATAATATCCAGGATACCTCAAGTTCACCACTTAGGGATATAGAAAACAATTACTGAGCTGCATGATTTGCATGGGATTCTAGAGTAAGTAGTTGTTTTCTACTGAATACTTAGAACTGTCTAATCATCCTAAATATCTTTGTTAGTCTAAACGGAAAAACTACTATTTTTACGTGAAATAATTCTAATACTTAATTATTTTTTTAATCACTTACCCATTTATTGAATGTGCATATTTTTTTTCAGTACTATACACCAAGTATAAGTACTTTGAGTTTACAATATCATCAAATTTTATTTGTATTGTTATTGGGTGTATAACATTAATGAGTTATTTCAATTTATGTGATATTTATATTATTATTAATGTTTTTTGTTATTTAAGATATAATTCTTAGAACTAATATATTCTATATGACACTATTGTATTAAATATGGCTTTTCTTGTATCAAATAAAAAGTATTTTTTTGTTTTTAATTTGATGAATCAAGACTACTTAGATTAAAATGCAATAGATTTGAAAGGTAATAAGCCAAGTTTTATATAGAAAATACATTCAAAAATTTTTAGTTTAATTATTTTATATGTTTTTTAAAATATTTAACTAAAATATAAAAAAAAAATTGGGTTACCAATTTTTTTTCTCAGAAAAATTTGCAAACTGTGTAAAATTTTAAAACTAATTTAATCATGCATCGTACAAAAAACTAATGGCAGTGTTTTTATGCAACAATAACATTTGAGATAAGCAGCCTTTAATGAGGACCATAAGTTAAAAGCTGTATTTAAAAAGTTATAACAGCACTATATTTTAAAAGCTGTATTTTATTTCTTAGTTTTCTTGTGTGAAATTTAAATTGTTCTCAAAAGGTTTCTAAATGAAAAAAAATTATACAAAAAATATTTTAATTTTTGCAACTGAAATTTATTATCTGCTTTTAGGGTGTTTATCTTATTCAAATGCCATTGAACTCTGGGCCCAGTCTTTATTCATTAGCTTTTAAGCATTAAAGTCTGTGTTTTAGTAGATTTTGTTTAGTAAATGAGTAAATTTTTTATAAGTATTCGATTTCATACTAAGTATTGTTTGGTAAGGTAATTGGTGAATATAGTGTAATATAAGGTATTTCCAATTTCTGATTAAAATGTATTAAGCATAGCACGTGTCACGAATCTACAGTTGAGCGCTGGTTATCCGGAACAAGCGGGACCAAACTCGATCCAGATAACGAGAAATTCAGATAATTGGACAACTAATATTTTTCACATTTTTTCCTGGTTTAGGTAATTGTAGTAGTGCCTATCATAGTATATTACAAATGGCAAATTCAAAAGGTTTAATTTTTTGAAATTTTTTATCAGAAACCTGTTCCCTTATTCGAAATTACTTGTCACCCACCTTGATACTGAGTGGAAAGAACGCGAGGTTCTTTTCAAAGTCACCGAGCCATTTTTTTAATCTTTTCAAATATTCAGAAAATAAGAAAGCATTCTCTCTCTCTGTGTATATATATATATATATATATATTTATTTTTGAAGAAGATGGGAAAAACCCGTGGTCTTTGAGGATCCAAATAATTGGACAATTTAGTAAATCAGTTTTCAGATAATTAAAGCTCTACTGTACTTTTATAAAAAATTAGAAATACTTTTAATAATATGTTTCTGTTTTAGACATTAGGTCTCCTAGAGCTTATTGTCTGTACATGATATGCCAAGTGTTTATTGTACATAAATCTCTCAAGATTGCACTTGTGTCATTGATCAATATGGAGGACCCAAACACTGAAATTCTTGACAAGAAATGGAGGATCTGAAGAGGAAACTATAGGCTGAAATATGTATGTGTTAACATTTGGAAAAGATTGCAAAATATATTTTCGTACAGTTGTTGGAGATTGCATTCTCAAAATTACATATTTAATAATGTGTTGCTTATTTTTAAGCTGTTTTAATATGCTGATCTATAAAGATTGTATTTTGTGTAGAATGTTATTTTACAGGTATATTTTTATTTCTAAAAAAAAATATTGAATTGTCACATTTTAAACTTAATTTTAAGGAAACATCTACATTAAAAAAGTAACAGAACTCACTATTCTTTTGTTTAAAATATATATATTTATAATAATTGAATTTTGCTTAGAAATATTTCAAAAACGTCAAGTTAGAAAGAAAAAAAAAGTATTGACAACTGAAAAAAATTTCTTTCTTACCTAAGCAATGTCCTCATTCAGCAGACAATCGACTGCACTTTCAATTTTGATATATTGTATGCTAAAATGTCAAGTACATGTAAGATTTTAAAAATATAAATTTTTTTTAAAGATATAGTTTTTCTTCTGCACCATTAAATGTAATAAATAATTGCTGTTGGTTCTAAAAGAACAATAACAAATAAGTTTAAACTTATTTCTAATCCTTGCAATAAAATATTGCTCTAAATTAATACTTACATTTTCTTTTTAAAAGTTAAAAAAAATTTGCCAAATAAATTGGGATAAATGTTGTATATTTGTCTGAAAAATAAATGGCCAATCGTAAATTTCTCAAATTTTTGTGAAAATTTATAGTTTTAGTAACTAGATTTCGTCTAGTAGGTATTAAATTTGTTTCCATGAAATTGGATGAAATTATTACATATAGCATGGAGTGTGTTTTATGTTATTTTTTCTCTATATATTTTGTTTTTGTATTTATTTCTTCAAATAAAAATTAAAACAAAGTGAAAATTTAACCCACTCCTATAATTTGGCATAGGTAAAAAGCCTTTAAACATGGTTATTGCTTGATTAAAAAATAATTCAAGTTTGTTACATATTTTGTGGCAACAAAATTCAAAAAATTGTGATTATTTTGTTATAAAGTATTGAGTTGAAGATAAAGTAAGTGTATCACTTAAATTATTACTAAAAAAATATGATTCTGCTTTTGTTTTAATTACATAAAATAGTATACTTAATATTAAATGCATTGATATAGAAAATGTTATAAATAGGAACTAGAGTTTGTTTTAGAATAGTTACAAATTAAAATTGTCAAAAGTAGTTGTGCCTAAAACATGTTTGAAATAATGTTTTTATTTAAAATTTTCATTAATGAAGTATTTATTGTTAGTGATAATAATTATATTACGATGTTAAATATTGTTTTCATTGGAATTAACACAAAATATCCTGATATTTTTCTTTGCATCATGTAATTTACAAAACTTCAGCAGTAATTTTTAAAACATGCATGCATATGTAAAATTTAATATTGCTTTAATTCATTAAAGGTTTAAACTTTAGGTAAAAAATGTTGTCTGTTCATTAGAGTACAAAAACTATTAACTTCATAATGTTTTTAAAATATAGGAGTCTATGTTAGTGATTTAAATGTATTTAATTATGCATACTATTTTCTGTAGACAATATATTGTATAAGCAAACACATTATTTCTTTTCCAATTATAAGAATTTGGTGTATAAGTTGGCACATACTTGTTATAATTGATACTTCTTATAATCGGATATTTTCCTTAAGAGCAAAAGAAGAACAATTTAAGTGTTTGTTTCTTGTGGTGAGTGATTTACTATGTGTTTGTTTTTGTTTGAGGGTGGAGTGAAAATAGTGAGATGTACTTACTAAATGAATAAAGGAAGGGTGGTAGCCTTATTCATGATTGGGAATGTGTTGCTACTAGGGTTTGCACCAGCAATGAAAATTTAGTGTTTCAATTGGACCGCCTATTTGGTTCTAAGAAATTCATAGGGTAGACAAACTCGAGAAAAATCGAACTTTACAATTACATAATTCATGTTATGGTACACATCAAAAATTATTTATTGCCACTAATTAGATCCTATAACTAATGCCATACACTCTAAAACTAAGTTCATTAGCCCATAATGGTCAAAGATTGGTAGTTATTAAAATCAAAGTTAAAATATTATTAGTAAATAAATTCAACATAAAGATTGAAGCTGAGACCAAATAAATAAATAAATGAAGAAAGGAGAGAAAGTATATGAACATTCAAAATATTATCCTAAAAATGAATGATCAAAAATTTTAGATAAAAGTTAATTCTAAAAGAGGGAAAATTTTTTATTTTATGGATGAACAATTTCACTACATGAATGCACAGCTTGTAAATTTGAAATTTATAATTTTTTTCAACAGACATTTCTATTAATTTGAATAGCATGGGTTTGAATTCCATTCCACAACACTTAGAGCAATAATAATAGTTTGACAAATATTTTTTAAATGCATGGAACTTGATGCCTATTTTTTGTTACTATTTTGTAAAAAGCAAAATTTCAAGACTACATATTTGACATATGATTTTAGCAGAATTTGTAGAACATTTGGTGGTAATTGTCGCCATGTCGCTCTACTGGCGTGAACCCTAGTTAATAGTATGATTATGAGATTATCTCAAAACAGTAGTAATTGTGTGAAAGAATTTAAAATGAAAATAGATGAAGGAAATAGATTTGTTGTTGATAGGGTACTAACGAAATATTTTTAATGCTTTAAGAAAAGTATGTTTCTCTTGATATATTATTTTAATGCAGGAATGGAGGAACAGTACTCAAATTTAATACTTAGAGTATTCATAAATACTAAGATATTGAGGGAAATTTGTATAAATTAATACATTATTCTGAAAAATTGATATTATATAAAACTTTTATTTCAAAAGATTTTGCGCACTCTCTTAATAAAATCTGAGATCACTATTGAGACTTATTCAAATAAACATATCTCTGCCTCTCAATTCTATTGAGTATAAAGCATATCTCTTTTAACCCTCTAAGCATAACAACTCTGAGCAAAATTTTAAAAAAAATTTCTAAGATCTACTTCCTCATTAAATAACATTGGTAGAAACCAGTTTATTGTCACTTTAAGGCAAACAGCTTGAAGTTCATAACATACTCAAAATAGCTCTCTGTCGGTTAATTTTATCATTTTAAAAATTTCAAATTATTAAAATTCAATCTTTCAGTGTAGGATTGAAAATCAGAACTATATAAAAGTTGTAAGTTTTACATTTTTGGATTATATATCATTTCTATTTATTTTAATCTGTAATAGAAATATCGATTATTTTTGTATGGAATATGTTTTTTCATATTCTAAAAACCTCTTCTTTTTTTTTTAAAATCCCATCTTCAAAAAAATTGAAAGATAGGTTTTAATCTTTCAATACTGTTAGTGTCAGATTGTTATTAATATGATAATGAATCATATTAATTATCTTTATTTGGTGAGGTGTTGATATATATATATATACCCCTCTTTTCAGAGGGAATCTATGTATATTCCGAATGCGTTGACATTGCATTCTGTGTATTCTTCACATCATAAGTAAAGTATATGTTTAGGATTGAGATTATTAATTTGTAAAAATGTCATTAACATCAAGTCATTAGAATTTTTTTTTAATTGTATTTTTCAATTATTTCTTCAAATTTTTTTTAATAATTCTATAAAGTATGATGAATAGATTCTATTTTTTAGATATCAATGGTTTGTACTTGAATCACTTAAAAAATGTTTAAAGAGCTGGAGCATTTTGGGCAAAAAAAATCTGCTGATTAATTTATTTTTATTACGTTTGTGTGCGAAATCAATGAAAATGGAATGGTTTATCTAAGATAAATATTAAAACTAATTTTTTTAGAAAATTTACGAATTTTCAACTACCCAGTAGTTGACGTTTATAATTTTTAAATTCTTTATTAAATTTTTTTTTATTATATTACTTTTTTTACAGTACTGAATTTCACATAACCCTTAAATTTAATGACATGACCTCATTTGGGGTTTAGAAAGCACTGGAATAAGCTCTGAAATGGTAATAGAATAATAATGTTTGTCTCAATAAAGTACAAAATGGATCAAAAATTATTAAATTATTTTTATACTCCACTTTAATAACTTTCTTTGTAGGAAGGAATATTTCTTTGGTCCAAAAGAAAATTAAATAATTTTTATAAATATTTGTAGGCATTATTCACCATTTATTACAAAAATTTTATATTTAAAATTTATGTATGTAATATGGCAGATAGCGATTCTGCATATTAATGATGTCAATTCCATTATTGTTCTTTTAGTAGAATTATTAAATTCAATATTTTTTCTATCAACTGTATTTTCTATGATAAATAAAATGCATTATTTACCCCCAGATTTTTCAATTTTTTTTTAAATGTTTAGGTGGATGTACTTTTAAATATTTTTATTTTCACCACTTTTTTTGTTTATCTTGAAATCTCATGTCATGAATTTTATTATTTAATTTTATGTATCATGAATCATCTTTTAAAGTGAGTTACACTTTTAATTTTATTTTATACAAAAATATTTGAGTACAAATTTAAATTTGCTTAAGTAATATGCACTTTGAAAAAACGCACACCAAACATAGAAAAATTATTTGAAATTTCTTTTTTTTTAGCTCTCTTTTTATATATATCTATATAAAATGTTACATTCCTAATTTTCAAACAATTTGTATTTAACTAATAACAAGCTTTGGAAACTCACTTATAAGGAATTATTCAAGAACAAGCGTTCAAAAATATTATAAATATTACAATTTTCTTAATAAAAGTACTTATACAATAGAGGGTTGACTGTATAAATCTAAGCACATAGGGCGCTAGGGGTTAAAATGCCTCGTAAAACTTTCGTGTCACTACTCCTGATAGATTTTTATGCCTGAACTCGAGAAAGCTTTTCGTGTGCATTCTTTCAATTTAAATTTCAATAAAACAAATGAATTTAGAAGACTTCACAAGCATGCTATGATGCAACCCATGAAATATCAAACGGTGATATTTAACATAAATAAAGCCAAATAAGGAATAACACTCGGCAAGCCTTTCACTTTATTTATGTTTTAATATTCATTTTCTTAAATTTGTTTTTGACTCACAACCAGTTAGGATTTGCTGAAAACTCTTATGAATGATGCGTAAATTTAATCACACATTAAATTAACAAAACTTCCTGGAATATTAAGCTCGTTCGCACATCGCCTCGTAAGCATGACACGAGAGAAGGAATATACCAGAAGTTTTCTAAATTTCTCGGGTTTTAGGAAGCTTGTTTACATTCTGTCAAACATCTGTACCTAATTAGAATAACAGGGTGCGTAGCATTTTAAAAAAGTGCTTATATTCAATTTTCGTTTTTTTAAAGCCCTTAAAGGTGCTTTTTTCCTTGGGTGTTTTTAAAAAGTGCTTCATTTTCCATTTTCCGAAATGTGATATTTTTCTTCACCATGTTGATTTTCACCTCAAATTATGCAAATGACATTGTCCTACTCAACGTTTTCACTATTAATTCAACCCCAATCTATTTCGGCGTACCGCCGGTCTGTAGTGTATGGAAACACCATTTGTTTTGTATGTCTGATGAAATAATTGCGGGTCCGCACTTGCGTAAACTGAGCTGGATTCAGTGGTAAAAATTTTTTACTCTCATGTGCAACCCTGCATTTTGCAAGAGATTCTCAATTTCAGACTTCATTTTCCGCCCTCTGTATTAGAATCGAAAAATCTCTCGAATTTTTGCTGATTGCGGGGACCAATTAAACATTGTAAATTTTTTTTCTCTATTAGTGATAGAAAATTTCCTTTCTTTTGTTAATTTCATCGTTTGTGACGGTACATCGTCTTCGTCACTGTAAATAAAACTGGATAAAAACCATCAATTGTCAAAAACTTGCCAAACCTGTTTAGTTATAATATTTTTCAAAGTGCTTAAAAATATTTTTTGAGTGCTTGAAAAGTGCTTATTTTTTGTTGAAAAATTTGGCTACGCACCCTGAATAAAGAACTATTTTTTTTCTATAAGTAAAAAAAAGGTAAGTTACAGGGATATGAAAAGTAAGAAATGTAAAAAGAAATGGATTGGGAGATGAAACTATTGATATTTGTGTGTTATTTTTATTGAGGGGAGAAACTTTCCTATTTTGGCAAAAAATGCTT